AGTTTTTGTAAGACTTAGAGCAGACCGAGGACAAAGAGGTGTGGACAAAGTGGCCTGACCAGCAGCCTTGATCAGACTTGGACGGTCAGGCCATGTGGTGCCCCTTATTCTGACTCATCACTCTTGCTGGGTCCCTCCCTGGGGCCTGTGTGAACCTGGTTAGCTTGCCATACTGTAACAACCTGGAGCTGCATCAGGTCATTTTTGGTTGCAGCAGCTGTTCAGGAGTCAAACGCTCCTGAGTTCCGTTAGTTAGTGAACCTGAGACGTGAGAAGAAGCCTTAGGCGCCCTGGCCTGCCAAGGACACAGCCAACCTGGAAGAGAAATGCGGACACGGGGAGAGAGGGTGACGGATCTCTAAGGTTAGGCAGACTTGAGGTTGACTCCCAGCAACTCTGTTACCTGTCCAGGCGACCACGGGGACATCTGTCTCACCAGGCTGCTGTGAGGATCAAGGAGAAAGAGATACGGGCACCGAGCCCGGTGCTCTGAGGCAGTGCTGCTTGGCCCTCCGCGGGTGCGGATTCTGCAGCCCAGTCCCAGGAGCTGGGGTGCAGGACGTGAGGCTCGGGGCATCGGTTCCTTGCGTGAGGGTTGTGACCCGTCCCCGGGAACTGGGCCAGCAGACTTGGGGTGAGCACGGGACCCTGCGCTGTAAGCCAGCACTGCAGACACGGAGGAAAGGGGAGTCACACTTTGCAAAATTCACTTTGGAGGTTGGTGGGTAGAAGCCATTGGACCCTGAAACTTGAATAGCTCGGGTGGGTGCGTTTTCCCGGCTCATCTTTTCACAGTAATCGCTGTGGGGACCTAAGCATTGACCACAACATTCTAATTAAGGAAAACCATTCAGGAATAGCAGTGTAAGCTTAGGTGAATAAAAACTAATGTGTAGAAAGGGTGTTTATCACTTACTATAAGTACTTCACCCCCCCAAAATGAGCTTAATGCTTGAAGTAAATAAAAGTAGAAACAGGAACTCCATTAATTAGCACATCGATTTAAAGTTAATAATGTTGGAGTGTGTCTTTGCCAAAGGAAATAGATATTTAGAGACCAGGATGTAACACACACACACACACACACACACACACACACACAGCATTCCGCATTGTCCAAGCTGAGGGCCATTAGGAGACTGCTCTGGTTAATCTTAATTGTCATGATGATATGAGGAGATGTGATCTCCAAGTTATGCAGACCATGTGGGGGAGGTTATTAAGAGCCGTTGTCAGGCCAGGGGACGGAGTGAGAGGGAATGCAGCTAGTCAGGCGTCCGGTTGCGCTATTTCCCATTGTTAGCGCTAGAATGTCTCAGAACACAACGCACCTAATTTCCCCTCTGATACTTGGGCGGCATAATTTATGTATACATGTGTATCCACATGCACGCACATACGACGCGCACACTCGATGGCCGGAGAGGAAGAGGCCCCGAGGGCCCTGTAGCGTACAATTAATATTTTGGTTAGAAAATCAGCAGATTGTTTCAGTATGGCTGTGTGCGATGACATCATATTCCAGTAAAGTTATAATGAACAGAGATTTTGTTTGTCTCTGTGGCAAACCGAAATGAGTTTTGTAATTGTCCGCAGGCCAGAGCGATTACGGTGGCGCCCACTCCCTCTCCTGTAGTTAAAGGTCTGCTCGCATTCCGCCCGCGGCCCTCTAAACATTCGCTCCGCTCGCTCCGCGGGGAAGGCTGGCCGTGTAAGATCTCAGGAGTCCACTTCTGACTTCGGGTTGTCTGTTTTTAAAAGGCTCGGCCGGTAGTGGAAAACGTGCGTCGAGCCTAGCCGGTGTGGCTCAGTGGTTGAGCGTCAGCCCGTGAACCAAGAGGTCCCTGGTTTGGCTCCTGGTCAGGGCGCATGCCCCGGTTGCAGGCTTGATCCCGCGGCTGAGGGCGTGCAGGAGGCAAGCCGATCTAAGTCTCTCTTTTATCGTTGAAGTTTCTATCTCTCTATCCCTCTCCCTCTCTCTCCCAAATTGATAAAATTGTATTTAAAGAAAACCTTGAAGACCCTTAAAATCTTTCTGCTTCTGCCTCACCTGTTCTTAAAACTTTCTAAGTGTTAACTTAGTTAATTTTCCCATTAGTGAAGTGCTCTTGTGTAAAACAAAACATGCATCGAGTTCTGGAGAGGTGGAAAAATGAATTTTGTGGGACCCAGAGATCACCTGCATCCATCCTGTTAGTCTGTCCAAATCTCCGCATTAAAATAATTTAAAATGAAACAGGCAACAGGAGATTGCACTTTTGTACACTAGCTATTGGAATCAAAGAGGAAAAAAAGTGTGGTTTTTAATGCTTTTGAGTCTTTGCATGTTTAAAAAAAAAAAATAGTCTGTTACAAGTAATTTTTTTTCTTCCTTTACCTTTTTCATCTTTGCCAATGAAAAATGAAAATGCGTGACACAATAAAACACATTTAAAAATACGTTATCTTAAAAGAAATTAATGGGGAAACTGCGGGCCAAGAAACTTGACTCTTAAGAATTTAAAACGGTGACTTGGTCCCTCCTTCTCTGACGCTGGCTTTCTCCACTGCTAACTGCCTCCCTGCTGCAGCGGGCTTTCTCTTCTGATGGCGGCCTGCCTTCATCTCCTTCACCGCCGTCTACTGTTTCCCCGGCCTTTTGGTCACCGGCATGAGTCGGAGCCAGCCGCCAGCTCTCCCGCTCGGCTCCTTTCTGCTTTCTTTTTCCAGGCGCTCATCCACTCCCTCGGTTTCCGTTCGTGCCTGCCCCCCCAGCTGCAGGGCCAGTGCCCACCCCCACGCTTGTGTGGAGACCTCCACCTTCAGTCCCATCTGCCCACAGCGTCTGACGGGATGGGCCCCGTGCACTGACCTCAGGTGGAATAGAGAGCACCGCTCCATGGATGTCCACTCGTCATCTAAAATGACTAGGGCATCGATTGGACTTCTTTTTGCTGGGATACAGACATTTTTCAGCACTGGAGTGGTTTTGCACTTATTTTTTTTCAGCATTAGTATAACACACCATTCCATCCAAATCAGTCCTGTGAGTGTTGCTCATTCATTTGACTTGACATGTGAATAGCATTTGACATTCAACCCCTCACTCTTCCATGATAGACTTCCCACTTGGCTTCCAGAAAATAGGACACCCTGCCTGCCTGGATTTCCTATCTGGCTTTAAAGTCCATCGATATATTGAAGATTCCCGAATTTCATTCTCACCTTGGACCTCTTTTCTAGAGTCCAGACTCAAATCCAACTGTCCATTGGACGTCTCCATGTGGATGTCTAAGAGGCCTAACAACTTCACACCTTCAAACCGGTGCTGCTGTCCGCCCACCAACAATCCCCTTCCTTGACTCCGCTTTCCTATTCGGTAGCCAGTTCTTGGGCAAACCTTGTCTCTCTGCTTTTGAAATCCACTGCTTCTCGTCACTTCTTCTGCTGTCACGTTCGGTCAGGCCTCGGTCACCTTTCCCGTGTTACTGTGCTACTTTCCTAATAGATCTCCTGGCTTCTACCATCCTTCCCTATAGTCTGTTCTCTACATTGTAGTTAGATGATCCTTCAAAAATTGAGCCACATCATGTCACTTCTCTGGTGGGGCCATTTCACTCCTCTCTCTCTCTTTCTCTCTCTCTTGACTCTAAGAAGATGGACATCCTCTGACTTATTGAATGTGCATGGCATGCTGCTACCTCAGGGCCTTTGCACTTGACATTGTCTGCTTCTGCTGCACTGTCCCAGGGGATCCGCATGGTTTCCTCCCTCACTTATTTTAGATCTTTACAGAGTCGTCATTTCAGTGAGGCCCTCCCTGGCCACCCCCTCTAACACCCACCTCCCTGACACTTCTGAACGTTGGCCTTTTTTACTGTTTAACAGGTGTCTCTAACATGCTATGTTCTGCATATTTACCTCATTTCTTGTCTGCTGCACTTTCATGTGTGTCTTTGTCACGTTCCCCTGTCAAGTAATTGCTGCGTTAATGAATTTTATTGCATATCACCTTAACTTTTTCCTTCTTTTAAAAAAAATTTTATTGATTTTTTTAGAGAGAAAGGGACAGGGATAGAGAGCTGGAAACATCGATGAGAGAGAAACATCGACCAGCTGCCTCCTGCACACCCCTTATTGGGGATGTGCCCGCAACCAAGGTACATGTCCTTGACTGGAATCGAACTTGGGACCCTTGAGTCCACCGACTGATGCTCTATCCACTGAGCCAAACCAGTTTCAGCAATTTTTTCCTTCTTGATGTCTTCTAGGTTTGTTCTTTCTTCTGACACCCTCTTGTATCGTCTCAAGTCTACATCACTGCAGCTCTTCCGTAGCTCTTCTCTTCCTCAGGCTCATTCAATTCAAGCCTGCCAAAGTCTTTACCTTAAACACATTTATTATTATACTTTCTACTTACAAATTGGGTTAAACTCCCTATTCTTTTTGATGTTGAATCTGATCTTACTTCCTTGCAAAGTACCTGTTTTCACTTTGGAGGAGTAACGCCACCTCTTGGGCCTCTCATTTCTCACCATAACCATCTGCTAAGGGCACCAAAGTCTGCGTGTTGTCACCGGAATGGCCTTGCTCGTCGCCATCCTCTGGTGGCTCCCCGGTCTTCAGCACCAGACCATTGGCCCATTCCCGTCAAAATCTGTCTGAAAACTTGAAGTTAAAATTTGAGCCCTGGCCGGTTTGGTTCAGTGGATGGCGCGTTGGCCTGTGGATTGGCGGTCCCAGGTTCGATTCCGACCAGGGGCACATGCCCAGGTTGCGGGCTCGGTCCCCAGTGGGGGGCATGCAGGAGGCAGCCAGTCAATGATTCTCTTTCATCATTGATGTTTCTGTCTCTCTCTCCCTCTCCCTTCCTCTCTGAAATCAATAAAAAAATTTTTTTGATTAGGATTCATAGAGGGCATAGCACATTCTGTGGTTGGTGTCACTTTCAACAAAACAAATCTGATTATAGAACGATTTCTTTTTTAATCGGACTAACCTTCCTATTTTCTTCTCTTTAGGTATCATTGCCCGATGCCTAAGATCTTTTACGTTCAGCTGACTGTAGGAAACAATGAGTTTTTTGGGGAAGGGAAGACTCGGCAAGCTGCTAGACACAATGCCGCCATGAAGGCCCTCCAGGCGCTGCAGAACGAGCCCATTCCCGAAAAGTCCTCTCAGGTGAGCTGTGCTGCAGGGACCGTCTCTCTCCAGTCCCCGGGAGGTGATCCCAAACACAAACGTGTGCATTTTCACAGACAGAAGACATAACCTCCTCTGTTAACGCTCTGTTAATTTGCTTCCCAGATGGATCACCTGTTACTGTCCTAGACTTGTCCTTGCCAAGATGACCTTGCCTTTGAGAACGTGGGTTCACCAATGGAGTGCACTTCCCAGGCAGCTCAGGGTCTTGGAAGGTGTACAAGGATGAGAAATAGCATTCACTTACTTTGAGTTTAATGCTACATTCATTGAGCGTGAATTGTGTTGTGTTGATTTGGAATGGAAGAATTTAAAGTGGAGGAGATCATTATGGATATTTCCAGTCCTACTTAATTTTTACGATTGAGGCTATGGAGGTTTTTTTTTTTTTTTTTTAACTCAATTTTTATTTTATTTTATTTTTTAATATTTTTTATTGATTTTTTACGGAGAGGAAGGGAGAGGGATAGAGAGCTAGAAACATCTATGAGAGAGAAATATCGACCAGCCGCCTCTTGCACATTCCCCCACCGAGGATGTGCCCGCAACTAAGGCACATGCCCCTGACCGGAATCGAACCTGGGACCCTTCAGTCCGCAGGCCCATGCTCTCTCCACTGAGCCAGACTGGTTTCGGCTGAAAAAAAAAGTATATTTTTTATTGATTTTAGAGAAGGGTGAGGGAGAGAGACTTAGAAACATCAGTGATGAGAGAGAATCACCAATCAGCTGCCTCCTGTAAACCCCACACTGGGGATCAATCCCGCAACCCAGGCATGTGCCCTTACTGGGAATCGAACCGTGACCTCCTGGTTCATAGGTTGCTATTCAACCACTGAGCCACGCCGGTCGGGCTGGATAGAGATTTTGAGAGAACTGGATAAACTCAAATTGGTGTATGGTTGAGTGAAAGACTTTCCCGCTGAGCATTTATTCTATATACTTTGAGGGGGAAAATGAAAAGTCAAACAGCACAGAGCCTCAGAGCAGCTCTTGTCTGCTGTGCTTACAGGGACCACAGGACCAGTCTGGGGATTTCTGTTTCCTCCTGTATTTTCTGTTAGATGGCTCTCCTGACTGTAGACTGTGCGCGAAGTGTGTTCCAAAGTGAAGACTCAGTGCCGTCCTGTTTTTTGTGATTTAGAATGGCGAATCCGGAAAAGAAATGGATGATGACAAAGACGCCAATAAATCTGAGATCAGCTTAGTGTTTGAAATTGCTCTGAAGCGAAATATGCCCGTCAGTTTCGAGGTATGTATGTAAGAGTGCTTCACCCCTGCTCCTCACTAACTCAGATAAGCAGCCCACTACGTGATGTTAGCTGGTACCCTCGTGTCCTGAAAGAGGGAGTTTCCTTAGGCAATGAGGTAGGCCCCGGGAGAGAAGCACTTCCAGAATGTCACAGATTCCTGCACGTGCCTGACCAGGAATCGAACCGGCGACCTCTTGGTTCCTGGGTTGATGCTCAGCTGCTGAGCCACACTGGCAGGGGGCTCCTGCTCACCTCTCTTGCTTTTCCGTATTGAGCCATCTGTATATATGACATCTCCGTTTCATCGTAAAATTTATTTTCTCATTGTAAGTTAATTTTTGTAGTGCTTTAGAGAGTTTGGTGATTTTAAGAGGATCAAATTGAAAATATCCAAGTTAGTATTTAGTGACACACATATTAATATCCAGTTTCTTCTGTACTTGCCAAAATATGTTTACATTTTACTAAGCCACTAAGATAAATAGATAAATAGGTCACAGCTAGATAAATAGGTCACAGAAATATGTATAAAAAAAGACATTAAAAATAGGGAAAAATCATTTTCGATATTATAATTCCTTCTATTAGTTAAAATTAAGAGGGTACTAATTTTGCAACTCAAATACGTAGGAAATAGGCAAAACCCAGGAAATAAGCTGCCACGGCCTGGAGTGTCCTCCTTCCCATTGGGGTGACGCTCAGCACTGGGAAGCTCCTACATCTAACTCACCAGCAGCGTCAACTGCCCTCGGCTGAGAACCTGTTTGCTTCCTTCTCAGACACAGTTCCTGCACATGGGGCTGCCTGGTGGCAGCCTGCAGCCGATGGGAAGCGGCATCCTGGGGAAGGCAGGGGCAGAATGCCCTGGGGGGCTTACTAGGCCCAGCAAGAAGCGACAGGGACAGATGGAAAACCAATCAAAGTACTTGCATAGACTTGAAAACTATTGGATTTGGGCCTTCAGAGCTACAGTGGACAGGGACAGTTTTATCAGTTTTAGAAGCCCTTGGCGGCATCAGTATATATTACAGAATATTTTTTTAAAATATATTTTATTGATATTTTACAGAGAGGAAGGGAGAGAGATAGAGAGCCAGAAACGTCGATGAGAGAAACATCGACCAGCTGCCTTGCACACCCCCTACCGGGGATGTGCCCGCAACCAAGGTACATGCCCTTGACCGGAATCGAACCCGGGACCTTTCAGTCTGCAGACCGACGCTCTACCACTGAGCCAAACCGGTTTCAGCTGTTACAGAATATTTGATGTTCAAATGGTAACCTCATGCCAGCAATAAAAGGTTAACTATTTGGTTTTCTCTATTAAGTCAGGACAGCATATGAGGTGTTTTTTGTTTATTTTTTTATTTTTATATTTATTTATTTATTTATTTATTTAATATATTTTATTGATTTCTTATAGAGAGGAAGGGAGAAGGATAGAGAGCCAGAAACATCGATGAGAGAGAGACATCAACCAGCTGCCTCCTGCACAGCTTCCACTGGGGATGTGCCCGCAACCAAGGTACATGCCCTTGACCGGAATCGAACCCGGGACCCTTCAGTCCACAAGCCGACGCTCTATCCACTGAGCCAAACCGGTTCCGGCTTGTTTATATTTTTTACATTTTATTTTATTGTTGACAGTGTTACAGTACAGTTGTCTCCCATTTTCTCCCTTTGGGCCCCACTTCGCCAACCTCCACCCACTCCCGCCTTCCCCATGTCTGTGTCCATGCATATATGCTCTTTGGTTAATCTCTAGCTGTCCCCTTCCTCACAGCATCCCTCCCCTTTCCCACTGAGATCCGTTATTTTGTTCCATGCATCCATACCTCCAGACCTATTTTGTGTGTGGTTATTTTTTTAAATTCAGGAGGATGGCCAGCCAAGTGGTTAAAATAAGCAGTTTTGGCATTTCAGATAGTAAACTTAAATTACTTGGAAAGCATGCTGATCCTAAGTGTCGTATCCCTAGCATTGTTGAATTACTGAACTGTTGTGTTGTTTGCTTTCTTTTCCTCGTTGGTAGCCAATATTAGACAAACGTTTAGCATGCTGTTAAATAGTAAACTGTTTAACTCAGGAGGGTACCTTTCATAGCTTAAAATGTGAAGGAGCACTCAGGTTTGGGGAGGCATCTGTTCTCAAAAGCTGTCTCACTTGAAATGAGCTCATTGGTCCAGGGCTTGGGAGCATTTGCAGCTGACGCATTCACAATCCATAACCCTAGAAAGCGAGGAGCTTTTATGGCATATCGGCTAACCTTCCAAAGATCATGTCACAGAGAGTAAACATTCCTTTCTACAAAACAGCCTTTGCGCTTTATGTCAGAGGTAGGTTGTGTTTGAGCGGCTTCCCCACGCAGGATGCGGGGTGGCTGGTAGAACTCCCTTAGGACGTGGTCCCCTCCAGGAACGTACTCTTCCAGGGAAAATGCAATATGTATCCGTTATCATGCTCGGCGCCCTGTGTACCTAACGTAATGTGATGTGTTTTACGTTCGTAATTTTCTGTTCTGTAAGAAATGAGTAGTCATTGGAAGAAAATAGGAGATGTCTATAATACTATCAACAGTAAAACAAGATTTAAAAAAAATACAAGTTTTTATGGATATTACAGAGGAAGGGAGAAAGAGAGCGAGATAGAAGCATCGGCAATGAGAGAGAATCATTGATCTGCTGCTTTCTGCACGCCCCTACTGGGTATCGAGCATGCGACCGAGGCACGTGCCCTAACCCAAATTGAACTCTGATCTCCTGGTACATAGGCCATCGTGCAACCATAAGCCACGCTGGCTGGGCGAAATTTTTATTTTATTTTATTTTATTTTATTTTATTTTTATTTTATTTTATGAAAAGAAATTGCAAACATAATTAGAATTGCCTTTTTTAAATGGGTAAAAAAAATAATTTTGAGTGTGACTTGAATGTGTTTACTTAGATTTCTATTCGTCCAACTGCAGTCTCTTACGCTTTGTAAATTAATCATTCTTATATAATACCTTTCTAATAGGTTTATTAAAGAAATCTATAATTTTGGCATCATTCTTCATTTCTATTTTGCTTATGACAGGAACATTAAGAAAGATCCATGCTATAGGGACACATTCTAAGTGTGCCTGCGTGTTACTCACTATTGTATTGTACTTTACAGGTTATTAAAGAGAGCGGGCCACCACACATGAAAAGCTTCGTTACGCGGGTGTCCGTGGGGGAGTTCTCTGCGGAAGGAGAGGGGAACAGCAAAAAGCTCTCTAAGAAGCGGGCCGCAACCACCGTCTTACAGGAGCTCAAGAAACTCCCGCCTCTTCCTGTGGTTGAAAAGCCAAAACTATTTTTTAAAAAACGCCCTAAAACCATAGTCAAAGTAAGTGTGTGCTTACACGAACATGAGTCAGTTTTACTGCGTAAATATTCCGGTAACTATAGATAAAAGTTTCCCCACAGGGCAGGCGTCACAACCTATGGATTAGAAACAGTCCCAGAATCAGGGTTGGACGTGTGACTGTAAGTCAGTAACAGTTCTGTTTTGCTTTTCAGACACTTGCATACATGTGTTTGTTCATCACATAATACCTTACGTATGTACAGGGTTTTTTTATGGCTTACAAAGTTGTTCCTTGTTCACGATCACCTTTAGTATAGAATACTTCAGTATGAAACACTTTCCCATCCATGATCACCTTTAGTGTAACTCTCATCATGACGGTGTAAGGTAGAGGATGTTACTCCTAACACATCCAAAGCATTTGTTCACTTTTATTCACTTGTAGGGTAATCTGAACTGCTCTGATCTCTAACCAGCGTTCTTTCTGCACACCACACTGCCATACATAGTTTCTGCTTAGAACAACCTGAAATGGTTAAGGATATGTGGGAGGGACGTGAATAATGCTGACCCTGTGACAGGAGCAGCAGCTAGTGAATGGAAAGCACTCTGTGTGCGGGACTTAGTGTTTATTAATAATACAAATAATAGGCACCCAGTAAATATTACATATTGTTATTTTGCTTGTTCACATAGTACCTTGGTTTTTAGAGTTTTTTGTCACTTCCTTACATGTCTTATGTATCTAGGGTCTGTGTTCTTGATACGCAGTGGAAGTAGAGAAAATATCTGTGGATGAGCTGCCTTGATTTTTAAGAAAGATAATGAAACTGTCACATTTTCTCGTTGGATCCTCTCAGTCAATCCATGATGTAGGTGTTACACCAGTTTTACAGATGAGGTCCTTGGTGTTTAAGAAGCTCACCCAAGATTCCGTAGCAGAGTCAGGGTTTGGGTCTAGTCATGTGACTTGTTCTAGGACCATTGGTTGAAAAGACTGTCCTTTATCCACTGAATTGCTTTTGCACGTTTGTGGAAAACCAGTTGACTGTATATGTGTGGATCTGTTTCTGGACACTCTGTTTCATTGGTCTCTGTCTGTCTTTATGCTGATTGTACACATACTGTCTTTGTTGCTATAGCTTTGTGGTGAATTTGAAATCAGAGAGTTTGACTCCTCCAACTTTGTTCTTTTTTTCAGAGTTGTTTTGGTTATTTGTCTTTTCCATTTCCATATGATCTCTAGCATTGGCTTATTAATTGCTACCAAAACAAAAAGCCTGCTGGGATTTTGACTGGGAATGCAATGATTTGAGAGACCAGGTTGAGGAAAATTAACATTTTTAACAATATTGAGTCTTGTGACCCAGGAGCATGTCTGTCCATTTATTAAAATCTTACTTAATTTCAGCAGTGTTTTGTAGTTTTAGTGAGTTTTACATAAATTACATCATACTATATGTATTCTGTGTTTGGTTTTCTTCCTTAACATATTTTTCCTCCTGAAATTCATTTGCCCTATGTCAAACCATTGTATGAACATGCCATAATTTACATAGTTCTTGTGATGAATATCTAGGTTGTTTTCAGGTTTGTTTTGTTTTGCTATTTCAAACAATGCAGCCATGGATATTCCTGAACATTGGAGCTAGCACATGTGGGCGGCTGTGTTCTAGGGTATATGGTACAGGATGATAAAGATGCTGCTAAGGAGTGTAGCGGCTGTCTTTGGCTTTACCTCACATCGCCCAATGGTTTTCCATTTCATATCGCCGTTAGCAAGGTATAAGCTCTGTTACTCCTCACCCTCACCATTGAGGCTGTCAGGCTTCTGAGTTTTTTCTAAATTAATGGGTGAGAAATAGCATCTCACTGTGATTTTAATATGCATTTTCTGAGTCCTAAAGAGGTTGGTTATATTTTTATAAATGTTCCATCTATTAAATATTTGTTCATGTCCTTTGCCCATTTTTTTTTTAGATTGTATTTTTCTTAATACTTTTTTTGAGTTTTAAAATATATATTTTGGCTACCGGATTTATCTTTTTTAGTTACAGGTATTGCAAATATCTCTTCCCAGTTCATGTCTTGTGATCTTCTATCCTTTTGGTCTTTTTTGATGAATAGAAGTGTGAAGAAGCTGTACCGAAGAATTAAAAAGCAGAATAGTTGACCCAATTTATTAGTAATACCCCTGAGCCCTAAATTCCATACCCGCCTTCGTCTCAGATCCGTTTTATGCTTTTCCTTCATAAATCTTTATAAATGACTCTCATTTATCTTCTCCAGTCACGGTTTTGGGGTGTAGGGGAGGAGAGGAGAACCACTTTAAGGATCCAATAACAAGTTTTACAAGCATGTTTTGACATTTTTCTTACATTGTTTTTTAGGCTGGACCAGAATATGGTCAAGGAATGAACCCCATTAGCCGCCTGGCCCAAATTCAACAGGCCAAGAAGGAAAAGGAGCCAGACTATGTTTTGCTTTCAGAGAGAGGAATGCCGAGACGTCGGGAGTTTGTGATGCAGGTATTTCTAACTTTTATATGAGAAGAGTTTTTTTAACCATTGAAAAAAATATAGAAATCCTCAGGTCGGAATAGAGATATGGGGAAAGGCCGACTAGGAATTAATAGCACTATTAATTAATGGCACTGTTTACTCTCACAGCATTGATTCCCTCAACGTGGTTGAAACATTCAAGTGTCAGTGACAGAACAGACAGAAGAGTGTTGTTGTTTTTAAATATATTTATTGAATTCATAGAGGAAGGGAGAAGGAGAGAGAGAGAAACATCAGTGAGGAGAGAGAATCACCAATCACCTGTCTCCTGCACTCCCTGCCCCTGGGGATCAAGCCTGGAACCCAGACATGTGCCCTTGGCTGGAATCAAACCCAGGGCTGCTCAGTCTGCAGGCTGACGCTCTATCCACCGAGCCAGGCTGGCCAGGACCAGACAGAAGAGTTTTGAGGGACTGAGTTCACACAGCCTATTTGGCCCAGAGAGTATCAAACAGAAGGCTCGTCTCTGTCTTACTGTTACAGTGTGCAGCCAGAGTCTGTTCACTACTGGGACTAGGAGACAGACGGAATTAGAAACAAAATTGAAAAAGATGGATGGAGATGGAACGGGGCCAAGAGCATGAACTGTGGGTTTTCAGGAAAATTAGGAAAAGAGAGAGCTGGCCATCTCCCTAATCACGGTGAGGACTGAGGGACTCAGAATTGCTGGGAGTTTGACCTGCATGTTGTGCAGCCCAGACAACTGGAGCCTGGCTGCTCGTGGATTTTCAGACGGGCGGGGACTAGCACCTCGCCCTCCTCCTTTCAGGTCTCACCTGCGCTTCTTCACTTGTCCACTCAAGCCCCAACAGTGGAGAAACCTTTAATTTTTTATTATGAAAGTTTCAAACCTATCCAAGGGTGGATATATTTAGTAGCGCACGATGAATATTAGTGTGATGGCGTGCACACAGCCTACAAAGGGGTGCACTAAGAGTGTCCACCTCAGGTAACTGGGAAGGCTGAGCCACTGGGCCCTATAGAACACCTAGCACACAAATCCACTCTGTCAACTCAGGGACTTGTTGTAGTTAAACCTTGATTGTTGTTGATATCACTGGGAGGAATTGACCTCCAAGCCAATTGGCTGTGAGGATCAGCTGTGTCTATGATGGGAGAATGTCTGTGCTGGAGACACCCTTATGAGACAAGACTTGCTTCAGTGGGGCTTTGGTGCTCACTGAGTGTGCCCCTGAGTGTGTCCCTTATGCATCTGAGGAGTTGTAATTTGGATGGTCCCACTTTGACTCCTGGGTACACTGGCTCTTGGATCTCCAAGGGGGTGCTAATTTAGCCTCTGCCTGAGGCCACCCAGCAGGAGCTATGGAGAGATCTGCAGATTCCTCTTCTTTGTTTGGGTTTTGGAAGTGCCCAGAAGAAGCAATGCAAGCTGCTGCAGGGCCTTGGGCCTTCTTTTTGTTCTGGGTCTCACTGACTCAGCTGCAGTTTGTTAGGAAAGTTTAGAATTCAATGTATCAGGCCCTTCATATGCAAAAGTCTCTGTGCTCAGTTTGGATGGGGTGGAGTCTCAGAGTGGAGCAATCAGCAATGGCTTCCTGTCAGCCCTGCCCTAAGAGGCCCCTGGGATGCAGTATCCCATAGTAATGGCTGCAAGCACCTCTGAGAGAAAGCTGCCCTCCAGTTCCACCTGCTGCCAGTCTAGTTTCTCTCTGTATGGGTCTGGGTCCCCAGAGTCTCACCTGGAACTGGAGTTAAGAGCAGTCAGGAGCTTTTGTCTCCCTCCCGCTTGAAAAAGACAGCCACATACTTAGTTGCCAGCCCTCTCTGTGCGTGCCTTGTTACCTCTGCCTTCCGCAGCTCCTGTGAGTCTCACTGTGCTTTTCTTTTTCCTTCTAGCTGTAGAATTTCCACTCAGCCAGCCTTCCTGTGGTCTGGATGATGTCCGTTTTGTCTTTTAGTTGTAGTTTTGAAATTGTTGTGCAAGGCAGTAGTCTAGGTGTTTACCTATGTTGCCATCTTGGTTTCTCCACAGTAAATGCTATTTTAGAACTTAAAAAAAATATTTTTATTGATTTCAGAGAGTCAAGGGGAGGGAGAGAAAGAAACATCAATGATGAGAGAGAATTATTGATTGGCTGCCTCCTGCATACCCCCTCCAGGGGATTGAACTGCAACCCGGGCATGTGCCCTTGACCAGAATCGAACCCAGGACCTTTCAGTCCACATGCTGATGCTCTATCCACTGAATCAAACTAGTTAGGACCTATTTTAGAACTTTATGGTTAGATTTTTGAGGACCTGATTTACTTAAATTATTTTTTAAATAGTCTGCAGTCTTAATTTTCTTGCATAGCAAAATTGAACTTCTTTGCAGAAAAAGTAACATTTTAATATAAAAATCTTATTTATAATAGTTATGAAAAATTTTCTAGCATTCTAGGAAGATGATTTATGAAGTTTATTATATATTTGCTTGACTTTTATATAGAAGTGATTTTTTTTTTTGAGTGACAGTTGTTAAGGAATCAAAATCCTTCAGCACAGCAGTCTTTTTTACTTTTATTCTTTTATTCATTGAATTTTTTACAGCTATCTTATTTAACATTAACAAATAACTTAGGGTAGCTGCTCACAAACTTCTGAACCGTGCCTCTAAAAAACTTATGTGAGACAGGGGGTGGGTGAATGGGCAAATGATTCTGGAAGCATCTGTTCTAGAAGGAACTCTTGAAGGCATCAGAATAGGTCGGATGCAATGATGACAGACAGAGACCCAAGGTGAGTGCCAGGGAGGGAGCGGCACGTCCCAGGGCGCGGCCTGGAGCCAGAGGGCAGGCCTGGATAGATAAGTGAGGAGCGGGGATGAACCGAAGACGAATTGAATCAGAGTGAGGGGACGTGTACACGGCATGTGAAGACAGGCGGAGCATGCTTTGCTGCTCATTGATCTTTTGCTTCCATTTACGTTGGCCAGTCTTTGGACACTCAGAGCAGTAGAGGAAGTTTTCTATGTAGCTGGCCTATCTGGTAGCTAGCAAGCACTCCAATGTGAATTTTAGCTCTAGTTTATTAATTTATATAAAGAATACTAACTGGCCCTAACCAGTTTGGCTCAGTGGATAGAGCATCAGCCTGTGGACTAAAAGGTCCCAGGTTCAATTATGGTCAAGGTCATGTACCCTGTTTCCCTGAAAATAAGATAGTGTCTTATATTAATTTTTGCTCCCAAAGATATGCTAGGTCTTATTTTCAGGGGATGTCTTATTTTCCCATGAAGATTATTATGGTACACATTTATTGTTAAATGAAAATAAAGGAAATTTATTACCTGTATACAGTACGGTAGTACGGTAGTTGTCAACACAAACCAGACAAACTGTGAATCCTTCAGTATCAAGAATTTACTCATTTATTCAATGACAATCATGTCATCATCTTCTGGAACATCATCATAACAATCCAATTCCTGAATTTCCTGGTGAATTTCTTGTGACTCCATTTTTTTCAGAATCAGTGGACCAAATCTCTCATGTTTAGCCTAGGGGGGCCTTATTTTTGGGGGATGCCTTATATTTCACTCAGAAGGAAACCTGTAAGTAGGTCTTTTTTTTTGGAGGATGTCTTATTTTCGGGGAAACACGGTACCTTGGTTGTAGGCACATCTAAAGTAGGGATTGTGCAGGAAGCAGCTGATTGATGTTTCTCCCTCATCGATTTTTCTAATTCTCTATCCCTCTTCCTTCCTCTCTGTAAAAAAATAAAAAAATATGTTTTTTAAAAAAGAATACTAACTGTACTGAGAGCCAACATATACTCTGTTACTATTTGAACCTTATTTTTTTTGCTTATATAAATAATACAGGTTTATTGTTTAAAAAAATAAAATAATTTTTATTATGTAAGGAAGTAAAAATCTTCTAAGATTCTGTTATCCTAAGATAACCTCCACTGACATTTTGAGAACCATATTTTTCTCCATGTTTATTTTCGCTTATCTATATAACACACAAATGAGATCTTAACTTAGTTGTTTTTATTGTGGACTGAACTTTGTAGTTTTGAATGCTAGAGAGCAGAATACAGTGCTTTGTGGTGTTAAGTCGAGCCTTTTTATCAAAGCAACTCTTACTAATTTCTTATGTTAATCTTATTAGGTCAAGGTAGGCAATGAAGTTGCTACTGGGACAGGACCGAATAAAAAGATAGCCAAAAAGAATGCCGCAGAAGCAATGCTGCTACAGCTCGGTTATAAAGCATCCACTAGTCTTCAAGATCAACTTGACAAGGTGAGCGCTAAATTCACATGTACAGTCCTATTCTGTCAGAATATCAGAGTGATGAGCAAATTCCGTACCAGCGTTCCTTGACTCTAAGTAATGTCGTAAGTGGCGTTAAGGTAGACATCCAGTTTTAATTTTCCTCAGGCAGTGTACTCTCTAACTTAAAAGATAGATTCCCAGTTACAACATCACATCTGTTTATGGTGCAAACACGAAATATTGATTCTAATCTCACAGTTAGCAAGTACTAAAAATCTGTTGTGTGGCTCTGTGTATTTTGTAGAATACCAACTGAGCCATTTTTAGCTTATTGACGCATGGGTTTTGCCATGTAGACAGTTTTAATTTGTGCCCCGTTTTTAAGAACTGAAGTTGTTGGCTTTTATTTCTGAAATGCAGCTGAAAACACTGGAAATAAAGATCCTGAGTTATCCCTTTAGGGCAGGAACTATATTGGACAGACACTCTATAAACTAGTTTTTCTATTTACTTTAAATGTAAAGGTAAACTCAGAGGGTGTTTGTTTTCTGCCAAGACTTGTGTTCATGGTCCCCTATTTCTCCTGCGCAGCGAATGACATCATTAACACCTGCCCCTGTTGCAAGGCAGGTAGGGGACCCCGAATTCAGGACTTGGCAGATAACTTGACAAGAACTGGCTTGATTTCATTCTGTCTGTGCATGTGTAGAAATTATTATGGACACTCTATTTATATAAAAGTTCACAAAGCAGACTTAATAATTATTTCTATCAAAAACAGCATACTTTCCCTCACACCATTTTCTCGTATAAAGATTCTGTTTCAGAGATATTTCAGTTTCTGCAGGAACACATGTTTGAAGACGGGAATAGAAACAAAATCGTCTTAATAAAAAACATTTAGGATATACTTGTCTTTTTAAGGCTACTATGAATATGTAGGCAATTATTTTGAGCAATTAAAAAATTATTTGTCTGTGTGGTATCGCTAGAGATTTTAATTCTGTTTTTATAACCTGGGTAGTCAATGGTTTTTCTTCCTTTAAAAATATTTGTAACATGAAACTTAACATGTGTTCAAGTTTCTATAGTTCTTATGTTGTGTATATGTTGTTTTAACTTAACACATTTATATTTACTTAAACCTGGTGAGTGGTTTATAAAAATATGTCAAAATAAATCTCAGACATTTATTTGGAAGTTAAATAAAAACAAAACAGAACAAAAGCCAGCATAAATGTCATTAATTTAAGAAACATTTTTTTGCATACCCACTTTAGTATTAGTCAGGTTCTCCAGAGACATAGAGCCAACAGGATATGTGCATGAATATACTTGTGTATATAAGTGTGTGCACACACACCTATGTACATATATGTAGATATGCATGATACATGGAGACCTGTTGTAAGGAATTGCCATGCCTTCTTGGAGGTTTGGCGAGCACAAGGTCTGATGGAGAGGCTGGTTCTGCTGGAGACTCGGAAGGTGTTGCAATTCCAATGCAGAGGCACCTGCTGGGGAGTTCCCTCCCGCTCCCAGGAGGTCAGCCTCTCTTCCGATGAGGCCCACCCTCAGGATGAGGGCAATCTGCTTCACTCAGAGTTCAGTTATTTTAAATGTAAGTCTCTCCGGAACACCCGCTCAGAAGCACCCACAATAATGTTGGACCAAAAACCTGGGTCCCATAGCCCAGACAAGCTGACACATAAAATTAACCATCACACCCACTAAATGCCAGTTACTTCCAACTGAAGACAGGATGTCTAAGACAATCCTGTAAGCCTTAGCCAGTGTGACTCAGTGGTTGAGCATCACCTAGGAATCAGAAGGTCATGGTTCAATGCCCAGTCAGGGCACATGCCCGGGTTTGGGGCTCCATCCCCAGTAGGGGGCGTGCAGAAGGCAGCCGATCAATGATTCTCTCTCATCGTTGATGTTCCTGTTTCTCTCTCCTTTCCTCTCTGAAATAAAAATAAAAAAGACAACCCTATAAATAAAGGAGTGAATATATTTGGGCAGGCTGAGTAGCAGAATTGCTAGATTAGAGGTACTGGGGGTCTGGACAAGGCAATGGTGGTGGAGAGGAGGGAAAAGGCAACAGGTTTTTTTTTTTTTTTTTTTTAAATATGCCTTTCATTGATTTTTTTACAGAGAGGAAGGAAGAGGGATAGAGAGTTAGAAACATTGATGAGAGAAACATCCAACAGTTGCCTCCTGTACAGCCCCCACTAGGCATGTGCCCGCAACCAAGGTACATGTCCCAGGAATCGAACCCGGGACCCTTCAGTCTGCAGGCTGATGCTCTATCCATTGAGCCAAACCGGTTAGGGTGGCACCAGAGGTATTTCTGAAGTGTCTGAAGTAGACTTCAGTGGCAGGTAACATGCCTGGGGGACATGGAAGAGGGAGGAGTAGAGAATGACTAGGAAAGAGTTGGCACCATTATCCAGAAATTCCCTTTGCCTTCCTCCCTTGCTGCCTGTTTTCTGGGCGGTTTTCTTTGGTCTTTATTTACTTCCCTGTTCAGATGGAGCACATACTCTCAGTAGCCCTCCCTCCCTCCCTGCCTCCCTGCCTCCCTGCCTCCCTCCCTCCCTCCCTTCATCTCTATTTCTCTTTTTCTCTCTCTCCTTTCCTCCCTCTCCCTCCTTCCTTCCCTTCCTCCTTCTCCCCTCCCTCCCTCCCTCCCTCCCTTCCTCTTTTCTATTTCTATAACGTTTGTTCTATTTTCTAGGAGATTTCATCGATTTTCTCTCCTGCTCTCCTTTGACGTTTTTTACTTTGGTTCTTATATTTTTGATATCCCAGAGCTCTTCCTCATTTCTACAATATTTCTTTTTATAGCCTCCTCTTCTTGTTTAATGGGTATAATAACTTTTCATGTCTCTGAGGATTTTTTAAACCTTTTTTTTTTTTTTTTTTTTAAGTTTTAGTCTCTTCTCTGTGCTGTTTTTGCCATTCCCTTTGGGTTAGAAGCCTGGCTGCTGTCCTCTGAGGCCCAGATGAGGAAGGAAGCCTGTGATCTTTCTTTCCGGGATGTTACCTCAGCCTCCACCCCTTTATCTGCCCTGTTGGGGTATTCATTTCACTCCCATCCGTGCCTCTGTTGTAGCCTAAGAGAAACCTCGCAGGAATCTGCTTGGGTTAGTGAGGTGACCTGGAGATTTCATAGCTCCTTGAAAGACTTCCAACAATTCTCCTGTTTTCAAGCCAGTTGGGTGTCGTCCCCGTGCACCGAAAGGCCCCAGGTTGGATCCCGGTAGGGGGGGATGCAAGAGGCAGCCGATTGAAGTTCAGCTCTCACATTGATGCTTCTCTTTCTCCCTCTCCCTTCCTCTCTCTCTGAAAATAAATTAAAAATATTTTTTTAAAAAGGTAGCAGGTGTGCTCCTAATCCTAAAGGCTTTCTGGGGTCCCAAGTTACCCCACTGTCCTTTCTGGGAGTCTCTGCTGGCTCCTCCCTCTGCAGGATTGCCGTCAGCCTCCTGACATCTGCTACCTGATCCCCTGCCTTCCGGTTCCAGGCTTGGAGCTCTCTCTTCTGCCGTTGCCTTTTTTCAGTCTCGGGGCAGGGCGTGGAGAGAAGAGAGGGAGAGAGAATGATAGGTTATTGGATTATTGATTTGGGGATGTTTGGAGAGAGATTCCTCCTATGTTCACTATGCTGTTTTTGTTTGTTTTTGTTTTTTTTTTTGCTGTTAGAAGCTTTATTGTTTCCTTTGGTCCCATGCATGGGGGAGGGCTTCGGTGGTTAAAAGAATGGCTAGGCCCTAGCCACTAGGGGTTTTGGGGAGAGGCTCAGGCAAAAGCCAGACACCATGGGATGCAGGGGGCCTTCAAAGGCCTCTGGGCTCCAAAGGCTCCTAGTCGTGCTTGAGCATTAGCCTTTTGAAGAGATCCTCGCCCAGCCCGGCCTGGGGCCGCAGCCTGCAGAGGGGAGCAGGTGTCGCCCATCTTCTTGATGAGTTTCACCCCTCACCCCGGAAGTGGCTCTGCAGGAAGACACAGAGCTGAGAGTCTGCTCGGGGAGAGCCAGGCCTGCAGCTCCATGGGGCCTGGGCCAGGGCCCCCTCCGAGGCCACGGCGGCTCCCATGACGCCCTGAGTGCCGCCCCTCCCCGTGGGGAGGCCTCGGCACATCCTGGAGAGAAGGCAGCCATCACGCTGGTTTGCATCTTTAAATATATTTTTATTGATTTCAGAGAGGAAGGGACAGGGAGAGAGAGCTAGAAACATCAATGATGAGAGAAAACCATTGATTGGCTGCTTCCTGCACACCCTCTACTCAGAATCGAGGCCGTAACCCGGGCATGTGCCTTCCTTGACTGGAATAGAGCCTGGGATCCTTCAGCCCACAGGCCGATGCTCTGTCCACTGAGCAAAACCAGCCAGAGCAGTTTTGCATCTTTAAGAGATGCTCAGCACTTGTGTGCTTCTTCTCTGCCAACTCACGGGAGAAGTGGCCCACGCCCTGAGAGCCACAGCGTCGGGGTGGAAATAGAAGCCAGAGAGGCAGGTGCGGGCGGCCACGGGTGCAGGCTGGCGGGGCGGCAGGCGGCAGCCCCCACCTGAGCGGACTAATGCTGACGAGTTTGGGAGCTCATGGCGGTTCATCAATAAGGAGTTAAGGTAGAAAGACACACGGTGGGGTGTTGGCTGGTCTTGGAGGGGGTTCTGAGGAGGTGACTGGATAAGACACAGGAGAGTGGTCGAGGCTGTAGGAAGGGGTGTCCGTGGGTGTGTTCTGTCCAAACACTGTTGAAGCAAGAGACAGATCGGGGACCGCTGAGGTTACTGTGGTCACTGTTGTGTTTGAGCCTTAAACCTTACAGAAACAGTTTCATTGGAGTGTTGGAGTTGACATGAGAGAACAGTAGACTGGGTATTCAGTTGAAGGTGAAAAACTAAGCATAGGGAATATAACCTAATATTTAAATAACCTTTGTTATTCATAGAAGGAGAGGCATTGAGAAAGGTTGCATGGCCTTGGCCCGGTAGCTCAGTTGGTTGGCAGTTGTCGCCAACAGGTGGTCCGAGGTCCACTGGTGGTCCATGAGGTCCAAAAGGTTGGCAGCCGCTGGGTTGGAGCGTTGTCTGTGCCCTAGAAGGTTGCTGGTTTGATTCCTAGTCAGGGCACATACTAAGTTTTGGGCTCCATCTCCAATCTGGGCATGTATGGGAGGCAACCGGTTGATGTGTCTCTCTCTCACATCGGTGTTTTTTTTCCTCTCTCTCTCTTCTCTCCCTTTCTGAGGTCAATTAAAAAAAAAACCATTTTATTGATTTTTCACAGAGAGGAAGGGAGAGGGATAGAGAGCTAGAAACATCAATGAGAGAGATACATCGACCAGCTGCCTTCTGCACCCCCCCCCCCCCCCCCCCAGGGATGTGCCTGCAACCAAAGTACATGCCCTTGACTGGAATCGAACCTGGGACCTTTCAGTCTGCAGACGGATGCTCTATCCATTGAGCCAAACCGGTTTCGGCCTGAGATAAAATTTTTAAAAAAGCAAGAAAAGTTGCATGAAGTGCTAAATTTATTATAACCAACTTTAACCAGGCCCTCAAATGTCTGAGAGTTTACATTCTTCCAGTCAGCCGGGTCCTTCCTTCCTGAAGTGACTTATTCCCTACTGTGAACACGTTCCTCCAACTCACTGCTTCCCTCCGTCAGCGGCCCCCATTCTGCACCTCGGCTCGCTCTTCACAGAGAGCAGAGAAGTGGGAGTCTCCCGGCCCCCCACCAGCATACACCACGTTTTTACTAACATTTACTCCTCCTCCATCCCCTTACAGTGGCAAGCTATGTGCTAGGATTGTATTTTTATTTATATCTGGATTTAATGTAGTCATTTGATCTTTGACATCGGACAGCAAATGTAAAATGCTGATTAGAATAGCAGCATTTTCTCTCCCGAAGTACCTGGTACCAACAACAACCGCTCCACAGACGAGAACATATCTGTTCATGTCACTAATTAATTTGATTAAATACTACTTCAGACTCTCTGAGTTTACACCAAGTATTTGTCACACCGTCTGGCGACAGTCAGGATATTACAAGCTTTACTCCAAGTTAGGGCTTAGTTTTCAATTTCTTGTGTGTATGTCATTGGCAGTATTTTGATGATCCTTGTTCATCAAAATAGGACTGTTCCGGGACAGACATAGTAATATTTCTATTGTGGTTTGACCTCAGGAGAGATAAAGAGGCTCCTTTAGTCTCTTTAGCACTTGTCATGATGATTATTGTTTATTATTTGTTAAGGATTGGTTTACTTTTTAGCCACCTAGCTAGAGCTGCTGTTGTATATAATATAGTCAACATGGGCTTTCGTGATGACTTAAATTGTTCGTGTGGGTGAAGATAAAGGCAGAACCAGACATAGGAAACAAACTTGAATGTAGAAAGGGGGTAGATAATGCTGCTCCAGTTAGTTCCTCTTGGGCCCACAGTCCCGGGGTCAGAGATAGAGAGAATCAGCAGAATGACCATGCGAGAGACCTTTGCCCATGCTTCATTGATAACTTCATGTTTTTCTTTTTGAATAAGACCGTCTCTGGATTCTAACAATTGATTTAATCTTTCAGACAGGGGAAAACAAAGGATGGAGTGGCCCAAAGGCTAGTTTTCCCGAACCAACCAATAACAGTAAGTTTTCACTTTTATGTTAACTACACTGAGTGTTCATTGCTGGTTTGGTGACTCGTAGGTCACTGGCTATTTATTGGGTCTGTCTGGGCTCATGATGCCAGATTTATTGTTGCAGGGGGGATACGAGGAAGTCATGCTGTTTGCTTTTCTGGAATTGCTAGAAGACACAGGCGCTCATATTCTTCACGTGGTTAAGCATTGCAGGAAGTGTACCATTTAACCCACATAGTGATGGCATTTTAAGTCATTTTATTGCAGGGTAATTATAGTATGAAAGAATTAAAAAAAGAAAAGCAATTATCTACAAGCTCATTATACTCTAACATCAGCTGTTTTCACAGTTGTAATTCTTTTTAGGTAAACACAAATTTTTACATAATTGTAACTTTTTATTCACTTTTATTAATTAAAATAGATTCAGTCTACACCAATGGCAAAATCCACTGTATCATCCTTGTTCAAAATACAGATTACAAGCATTTCGAATAGCGGTTGCCAACCTTTCAGACCTCATGGACCACCGGTTGGTAACCAATGAGTTAGTGTGCTTCTGTTCTGATATAATGACCTGTGCTGTCCATAGTTTTCAAGACTGAGGATAATTATTTAGTAAAATTAGTGTACAATAATTTTACAGCCTGTTAGGGAAGAATTTGCTGTACTTCTTCTTAGATCTCTGCGGAGACTTCTTTATTTCCACCACATCAAATAATATTTATAATTTCTGTGTTGCTATTGTGAAGATACATCAGGATTTTAATTTAAGAACAGTTGTGAACAATTAAAGAACAATTGTTAAGACTATTTAGTAACTAAAACTCAGAGTGTTTCTCTGTCTTACTTTAATGGGAAGAATGATGCCCTCAACACTCACTTCGTGGTGATTTAAATTCTAAGTCAGCCGCACCATATCTCCGTTTAGATTTTCCTCATGCATTGTGGGAAAGTAGTCATGGATGATAGATTTCGTCTATAACATGAACGAAAGTTTGTACTGTGTTGTTTTCATTTAACATTGCAATAAGCATTTTTCATGTGCTCGGTCATTAGAATTTTTAATATTCAAGTAAAGTCACTGATTGAACTATCAGAGATGTAAGAATACAATTGCTTATAATTGCCTTCTAATGATAATATTATCATATGCTTAAAAAATACACTTCATTTTATTTATGTGATCAGGCTATTATGCATTGCAAACAGACATTTATCTTTAACTTCCTACCTCTCCTTAAAGAGCATCTATTTCCACTGAAGTGACCATTTTACTATAAATCAGTAAAACAGTCACCAGCCAATGAAGACCCTCTTGAAGGGAAGGGCCAGTGGAGTCAAACCATCTCATTTCCATTCCTAGTGATGAGGTTATAAAGGATGATGTGTAAATTGTCATAGTTTATTCTTTGATGTTAGCAGCTCATCTCTTGATGTATAATGAAATTAATAACAAACTCTTATCAAAGCATGCTTATAAGAACTGAATTTTTGGGTCATCAAAACTAGCTTCTTGAAAAGAATATTTTAGTGATATAATGGCATTCATGAGTTATTTTCTGGGAATACTTGAAATAATTTAATAGAACTCTGAGCCTTTGATCTATATGTATAAGGATGATGGATGTGATAGCATGTATCCCAAAGAAAAAATGGAATGAGTTCAAGATTCTCAGACTTTAATTCCTTTGATGTTTGAATATATAGGCTTATAATTACTTGGTAAGGCAATGTAAGAAGCATTAAGTTGTTTTTACTTTTTTAAAAATATATTTTTTAATTTTTTAATTGATTTCAGAGAGGAAGGGAGAGGGAGAGAGATAGAAACATCAATGATGAGAGAGGATCATTGACCGGCTGCCTCCTACACCTCCCCTACTGGGGATTGAGCCCACATCCAGGCATGTGCCCTTGACCAGAATCGAACCTGGGACCCGTCAGTCCCTGGGCCGATGTTCTATCCAATGATCCAAACCGGCTAGGGCTGTTTGTTATTTTTATCTCGTTAACAGATCTGGGAACTCCTTTGCAAGTGGTAGGAGAGGGCTCAAAGAGGCAGTGAGGTTCAGAGATCAGAAATGTGGAAGAGTGCATAAAAGATTTGCTTTCAATATAGCGTTAGATGTGATAAAGCTAGTCGAAGTCAGCTTACAGCTTAATCATACTGTATGTACTTCAGGACTTCCTCTGGACTACAGCCGTCCACACTGAGAATGTGAAAGGAGGACTACCCCTCACGCCTTCCCAACTGTGAGGGGTGAGAAAGCTGACCTCAGGGTCCTTCCCTGGGAGCACTGAGTGGTCCCCACCTCAGGCTGCCACTCAGGATGGATGCTCCCTTCCCCCCGCCCCCTCAAGTCCTCTGGAGCCAGCTCACAGCTACTTAAAGATAACACTAGGAAAAGGTCGGTCTTTTCTTAGGAACTGATCACTCAAGTGATGCATCCATTACCTAAATTCCTGTATGATGGTAACATTTAGGGTAAATTCTCTCCTACTTAGTTCCTGGAGTTTGACATTTTGCCTCAGTGGTTTCTGTGAAGAACACCTGTGCTCGTGTTTTGCAGCAGGTGGGGGCTGGAACCTCTCAGGATGGCACATGGGGGGGGGGTAAGGGGTAGTCGGGGGGAAGGAGAAGGGGGACAGGAACTTGAGATTGCCAGGGCCGGCTGCCTCGCTGACCCTGTGTCTGATCCTCAGTATCTCACTGTGTATCTTGTTATTCCATGTGCTCTGTTAAGAGTGTTGCATACCAGCTTAAATGTTGAGACTTTTTAATCTTTGTAAAATGATTCGCTTTCCTTGAACAACATCTGAAAAGGTAACACACTTCTTTATAAAACACAGAACGTCATCCTAAAGAGACTCTTCACTTGGTTTTCCTTTGTGAAACTCTACCTTCCTTCCCAGATTATAGTTGATGAGATAAAATGTGTAGCCAGCCATTCTTTGGATAAATATGAAATGAATGTGGAACCATCGTGTACCAAACTTAAAAAAAAAAGAAAGAAAGGGAGACACAATTAGAAAGGGGAAAGAAGAGAGTTTTAACGTGGCGTAGCTAGTCCCTAACCCCAAGTAGACAAAGTTCATGTCCATGTGCTTTTAATTGTTGAAGTGGGAGACAGTGTTATTTTTTGGTGGAAGATATTATTTTCAAGATTGCAGTCCTAAGAAACTGCTAACAATTACAGCTAAAGAATAGCTGAGATGCTTTTGCAAGTGATTGTGATTACACAGCCCGGTTCCTGCCTTGATTGCCTGCAGATTGAAAGCATGGACCTAATTTTTGCCTGCTCTCCGCTTTCCGCACGGCCTGGGCTGCCGTCGGAGGCAGACCGTTCTCCGTGTGCTTTCCCCCTCGTGACTCACTGTCATGCTCTTGTTGAAGGGCAAGAGCACGGAGCTCTGTAATGGGAGGTTCGTGTTGAATTCAGCAAAGGGCCATTTAGTGCTTGGCCCGCACATAAAAAGCTGTGGTTTTACAGATGAACGACGAACAGCTTTTTAGAAAAGATGACGCGCTTTAAAGATCTACTGACGGCTCATGGAAAACTTTGTAAAATGCTTAGATAGAGTTCAGTTGATAATATCTTTTTTTTTTTTGTCTTCACATTCCCTGTTTCTTATTAATTCCGAGTTTTACTTAAAAACAGGCTCATTGTTTCTCAAAGGTGAACTCTAGCTTAATTCAAAATTGGACTGAGCTCAAAGGTACTCACTGGTATGTGCCGAATCCACCCACTAAAAGATTATTTGGAGGCGCTTTGCACATAAACATTTTTCCGTTAACCTTTTAAAAAGTTTTATTTAGCCCCCGTGAAATATGCTGACTCTTCTGGGTTCATTAGAGATGACCCAAGACAAATACTTTCGGGATCGAGTAGAGTGCTTACTGGCCTTTTTAGAACTGTAGTTGACTTAACAGCACTTTTGTCACTTTTGTGTCATATCTGTATGTTATTAAACTCCATGCATCCTGACGCCAGCATCTGCACTGTCTCAGTGACCTGACATGACATAGGTCATGAGCATGCTCCCCACATGCTGTGCACGTGGTATGTAGAGCCTGTACATATTTTATTCTTTTTGGGTAAGGATTGTGCTTTTAAGAGAATAGATTAATGGATAATTATTCATCAGCTTATCTAGAGAGATGGTGTTTTATGACTCTAGTCTTAGTTTGTCAGGAAACATTAAACTTGTGTTACCATTTTTAAAGAAAAAAATATAGGTAATACCTGGTGCATAAAGTATTTAACACACAGAAGGGATGAAGCATGGTAACAAAATAAGCACTAGAATATGACCAAACTTCCCAGTATCCTCCTCTTCGAAATCCATTGGCCCGCCATGCCTCCCCCAGCAAAGGAAACCACCTTCTCTGGGTTTTATATGTAGTCACCCCACCTTTTATTACTTACACTTTTATCAAAAAAGTTGGAGTCCTTAACAGTATTTGTGTAGTTTAGTTTTGGTTATTTATTTATTTTATTATTATTATTATTTTAAAAATATATTTTATTGATTTTTTTTACAGAGAGGAAGAGAGAGGGATAGAGAGTTAGAAACGGCGATGAGAGATAATCATTGATCAGCTGCCTCTTGCACATCCCGTGCTGGGGATGTGCCCGCAACCAAGGTACATGCCCTTGACCGGAATCGAACCTGGGACCTTTCAGTCCGCACGCCAATGCTCTATTCACTGAGCCAAACCAGTTTTGGCTGTTTTTTTATTTTTTAAACCTCGGGAAAATGGTACTATACTGTGTATTTTCTTGAACTTCTCCCCTGACTTTAACACTGTTAATTTATTTTTGTTACATCTATTTCATGCATAATGTGAATATCCTATAATTGATTTGTCTGTTCTCCTTTTGGTCTGCATTTGGGATATTTTCAGGATTTTGTTATCACAAAGTAGTGCTATGAGCATTTTGAACACGCCTCCTGGTGTACCTGCCTGAGTTTCTGGGAGCACACCAGGAGTGGACTTTATGGGT